GAACAGGGGAAGACAATTCAAGTTTAAAGGGAAAGCAGTTTCGAAGGAAGACAGTTCAAATTCAGCAATTAGGCACCCACCTGGAGAACAAGGGAAGACAATTCAAGTTTCAAGGGGAAGCAATTTCAAAGGAAGACAGCTCAAGTTCAGCAATCAGGCGCCCAACTGGAGAATAAGGGAAAATAATTCAAGTTTCAAGGGAAAGCAATTTCAAAAGAAGACAGATCAAGTTCGGCAATCAGGCGCCCACTTGAAGAACAAGGAGAAGCAAGTCAAGTTTCGAGGGAAAAATAGTGCAAGTGTTGGAAATCAGGCGCCCACCTGAAGAACAAGGAGAAGCAGTTCAAGTCTCAGGGAAAAACATGTGCAAGTGTTGGAAATCAGGAGCCCACCTGGAGAATAAGGGAAACAGGTCAAGTTCCAAGGAAAAGCAGTTAAAATTTTGGCAATCAGGCGCCTATGTCACGACCCAAACCCCGACCCGGTCGTGATGGCGCCTCTCGTGAAGACAAAGCCAGCCAACTAAACCCAATTCACCTTTTTAAAACAGTTAAACTATATAAAAGCGGTCTAAACATGATTTAATGATAAGAGGTAGTGGAAATACAACCCGACACAACCCAAACTGGGGTGTCACAAGTCACGAGCATCTACTAGGGTATAAATACAACCGAAAGTCTGAAGTGTACTAATACAGACTAATCAACTGAAGAGAGAGAGAGAGAGAGAGAGAAGCAATGCTGCGAACGCCGGTAGCTACCTTGCTAAACTTCGATGACCCTGCCTCCAATCGGCCAAAACCCGCTACCAGGTGTATAAATACCTAAATCTGCACACAAGGTGCAGGGAGTAAAGTGAGTAATAATCACAACTAAAGTCTGAATGGTAAGAAATCACGTAAAGCATATCAAGATGTTGTATAGAAGCAGTTCAAAAACCAGTAAGAAAGCAATGAAGCTGTAAAAAATTCTCTTAAAACATCTTAGCTCAGTTTAAACTTCTTGAAAAGGACTTTTTCAACAGTTACGCAAATGAATGAAAAATAGTTAGTGCAGATAAGCACAGAAATCCGCCCCTCGGGCATAAATACCGTAGTTTAGTAGGTAAAATGACAAGTAAATATGAAAGATAAACACATAAAGGTTCGCCCCTCGGGCAATATCTCAGAACAATACCAGCCCCTCGAGCAATCACATAGAACGGTACCAGCCCCTCGGGCAATCACATAGAACAATACCAGCCCATCGGGCTATCATATAGTACAATATCAGCCCCTCGGGCTATATCTCACCTCACAATGGGTACCCGCACTCACTGGGGGTGTACAGACTCCGGGAAGGGCCCCTTACAGCCCAAGCGCAACATCAAGCCATCTCGTGGCATCAATCTAGGCCCTCGGTCTCATATCAGTCAAGCCACCTCGTGGTGTATATATGTATCTCAGGCCCTCGACCTCATAAACAATATCAACAAGCCACCTCGTGGCGTACATATCTTAGGNGCCCACGCTCGTCGTCAAGCGTGTGCCTCACCTCAATATAGCACTATGATGTGCAATCCGGGGTTTCAAACCCTCAGAACATCATTTACAATCATTACACACCTCGAACCGGCTAAAACTCTAGCTCGCGATGCCTTTTCCCCTCAAATTGGCCTCCACGCGCATCGAATCTATTCAAGATCAGAACGAATACGTCACAATATGCTACGGGAACAAAGCCCAAGCAAAAACAATTGAAAAACACCAAAAATCTCGAAATTAGCAAAACCCGAGCCCCGGGCTCACTTCTTGAAACTTGGAAATTTTTACATCAACGGGTTACTTATCTCCACACGAGTTCAACCATACCAACTTTACCAAAATCCGACATCAACTCGACCATCAAATCTTCAAATTAAACCAAGAGGGTTTTCAAGATTTTACCAACTAAAATTACCAATTAAATGTTAAAAACAACGATGGATTCGAGTAATCTAACCAAAATTGAGTTAAGAACACTTACCCTGATGTTTTCCTTGAAAATCTCTCGAAATATTGCCTCACCCGAGCTCCCCCAACTCTATTTTTGTCAAAAATGGCAAAAACCCCTGTTTTATAACATTTTCCGATTCGGGCGCCATAGGTGGCACTGGGTGCTGCCTGTGGCGCTGGTTCCAATAGCCAAAATAAATCTCGGCGCCATGGATGGTGCCCCGCGCTACCCTTGGCGCTAGCGATGGGAAATTATTTTTCCCCGATACGGAAATGGTCATAACTCTCTCATACGATGTCTGAATTGGATGATTCTTTTTGCTATGGCTCCAAAATTTCGATACGGATATAATGGTTCAATAAACACTGAATTTGGAGCTCATTTTCATAATATGATACCACTTATTCTTGAAGAACGACATCAAAACATTCTTGAAATGCCCAAGTTAAACTCCAAATACCATCCAAACTCCACCCGAGGCCCTCGGGACCTCAACCAAATAACAAGTCCTAAAATATCATTCGGACTTACTCGAAGTTTCAAATCATGCCAAGCAACGTCGAAACTACAATTCACACCTCAATTCGAACTTATGAGTTTCAAATTTTTCCTTTTACAAAGCGCGTGCCGAAACGTATAAAATGAATCAGGAATGACTTCAAATTTTGCACACAAGTCATTAATGACATAATGGAGCTACTTTAACTTCCGGAATTTCATTCCAACCTCTATATACAATCTCACCTATCAACCGGAAATCGCCGAAATCTCCATTTCGCCAATTCAAGCCTAAACCTTCCACGGACCTCCAAAATGCATTCTGATCATGCTCCTAAGTACCAAAACACCTAACGGAGCTAACCAAATCATAAAAATTCCAATCGGGATTATATACAAATAAGTTAAATCTTAGTCAAACCTTTTAAACTTCAAGCTTCAACTGAGAACTTTTTTCTTCCAAATTCATTCTGATTACCCTGAAAACCAAAACCAATGATTTACATAAGTCATAATACATCACACGAGGCAAGTCATGCCCAAGAACTGGCGATCAAAGTGCAAAAGCTCAAAACGACCGGTCGGGTCATTACAGCCCACCTGGAGAGCAAGGGAATATAGTTAAAGTTTTGGCAATCAGGCGCCCACCTGGAGAGCAAGGGAATATAGTTAAAGTTTTGGCAATCAGGCGCCCACCTGGAGAGCAAGGGAATACAGGTCATGTTTTGGCAATCAGGTGCCCACTTGGAGAGCAAGGGAATACAGTTAAAGTTTTGGCAATTAGGCGCCCTCCTAGAGAGCAAGGGAATACAAATCAAGTTCCGGCAATCAGGCACCCACCTGGAGAGCAAGGGAATATAGTTCAAGTTTTGGCAATCAGGTATCCACCTGGAGAGCAAGGGAATATAGTTCAAGTTTCGGCAATCAGGCACCCACCTGGAGAACAAGGAAAGCAGTTCAAGTTTCAAAGGAAGACAACACAGGTTTTAAGGGAAAATAGTTTAAGGTAACAAAGGGAATACAATTCAAGTTTTGGTAATCAGGCGCCCGCCTAGAGAACAAGGGAATACAGTTCAAATGTTGGCAATCAGGCGCCACCCAGAGAATAAGGGAATTCACTTCATAATGCAATTCAAGTCAGCAACAAAAAAAGCTCGCGACAAGAATGCAAGTCAACAGTCTGAGATGATCAACGGAAGTTAGTCACAATCTAGAATAAAAAAAACAAGAAGTGAATCCAAATGCAGAAGTAGATAAAAGATGTGAGCTGCTCAAGACATGGATGAGGTCATAAGCACTGCATGTCCGGTCTTGATCCGGAAAAGCTGAAGAAGAATGAACTAGCACCTGCAGCTAGCAAGCGTCAAGGTTCAAATCTAAAGTCTGCATGAAGAACTATTCAAGACTCAAGATCAAGCTTAAAAAGACTTATAGATAGGAATCTTGTAACTCATAGTTGACAGGCTTAGTTAGTCTTTTTTATATTTTTGATTTTGATGTAATAATAGGATCGCGGACCGGAACCTCGACGGAATGACATCTTGATCGGCTCTCCACCTCGGTATACTCATCATCTTACTCACTTCTGAACTACACGTGGCCTGTTTCCTTTATAACCAAGGATATGTAAGCAGCTCAGATACCAGGGCTCGGTCACATTCCCCTTTCTCTTAGTTTTGGTCTCCCCAAATAAGGGTCGGGTCAAAAAACCTGTCTAGTCGTTTTTTGTCTGAAAACTCTTCGCATTCCCAGTCAAAGAGGGGCAGCTGTAGACATGTAATTTTTGACCCTCCCCAAGATTGTTTATATTTTAGCATGTAAATATTTATTTTAGGCATAATATTGTCATTTAAACTAGTTTTGACTCTTTTGCTTTATTTTATCTAAAAGAAATAAAATTACAAAAAAATATTTTCCTTTATTCTAGCTAATTAGTATTTTATCTAGTTACTTTTAATTTATCTTACTTTCTATAAAACTAAAAATACTAAAATAGTCTTGACATTTTGTTCTTCAAAAGATAAAAAAAGCAAGGCTTCAAAAAAATACTCTTTACATAGCTTAGTTATTAGTAGTAATTATTTAATAGTATTCTGATTTCTTTAGTATAGCTAATTTATTTATTTTAATACTTTTTTAGGTAATTAACATTTTTTGTCTAGCAAATTTTAAGTTTATCTTACTAGTGAAATTGAAAATTACAAAAAAATAGTCACATGTTTTTAAATTTTATTATATTAGTAGTTGTTTTGTTGTAGTGCTATTTTAGCTTCTTTTAAATAAAAGTAGTTGGTTTAATCTTATTTCAACATTTTGGGTAAGAAAGAACTAACAAAAATTCTTTTAAAATTGCTAAGATTCCATCTTATCGTGGATAACAAACTTTCTTTCTAAAATATTTTATAGGACCACTCACGCTAATTTCCTCGACACCACTTTAGTAATGCATTTCATTTTTTATTCACTTACAAATTACTTTTCTCTAGGCAGTAAGGAATTCACTGCACCACTATATTGAGATTTTCTTTTTTATATTGTGGGGACGAGATATTTTCTAGAGAGATCTTTACTTCTTTTCCAAGCACACATAGTCCATGGTAAGAGCAGAAGACCTCAGCTGTCACGCCTCTCTTGGATTTTCCATCTTCAACCAAAAACCCTAACACCCTTAGAGTCGTCGCCACCCCCTCATCTCCGCTAAAAATCCAACCGCCGGAATCCCTTGATCACCACACGACCATCTCCCTCACTCCAATTCCGTCGTTGACCATACCTTAACTACCTTCTCTCCAAAAAAACTCCATCTTCCAGCGACAGATCAACCTAATCTCCACAACCATGGTTGTTGCTTCCCCCACCACCAAAAGACGACTTGCCTCCAGTCACCCGCCTTCACCACACCAGCAATCCAGACCTAAGCTTTAGCGACAGAGCAGACACGCACAATCTAGTGCCTCATTTCTGTCCATTGAACTCGCCGGAAATGAGCTACACCAGCCAACGCCCAGCACCCCTCCTCATCTCTATTTCTTCTTCTTCACTTCACAACCAAGAAAGTTCCTTCAACACCAACGAACCAATCAAACTTCAACCCCAAATCGCTACTCCTTGTCATGGAGTTTATCGATTTTGTTTTTCGGGTTTAGTTCGAGTTCTCCGGCGAGTTTCGCGCCGAAGGTCGTTGTTCGAGGTTGCTGGCGGCTTTCGTTTGAGGTTCTGATTCCGGTCGTGTAAGTGAAGTCAAGCTTTTTGAAATACAGAGCTCTGCCTTTGATGGTGCATTTTTTGTTTGTATTCTCTTGTCCTGTTTGGAAAGGTCAGTACTCCTCTGTCTTCTTCATTTTATTTCACTGTTAAGGTGTTTTTTAGCATGAGTAATTGGAAAATCGAAACATTTGGATTTCAGTTGAGTCTCCGGGCTGAATCGATTTATCTCTGGCTTTTTATGTATTTTGCAAAGCATGTTTGCCGATATTAATCCTATTCTAATGAATTTTGTAATCCTCTCTAACTGGTCTACAGCAAGTACTTGCAATGTATACAAAAAAAGCAATAGATGGGAATCGAGAGGCCTAGATTCTGCTGCGTATATTAAAGTCAGCAATGTTCTATATTTGACGTGAAGAATCCATTAGCTTAACTAACAAGATTTCTGCTAACAAATACCAAAATGTTCTGTTTTTTAAAATTGAAAAGACTAAATTTGCTCGTGTATATTTGAAAGACCATATTAGACTCATCTTCATAACTGCGAGTACGGATCCCATAGCGTGGTTGTGGCACTTAATTTCATTAGTTTTAAATATGAACATCCTTAGTTCGCTTTAGTTGAATACGTTTCGTTTAATAAAAGTGAGGTGTGTCATTCATACAATTGAATCACATAATCTGTGGCCCTCATATCAATTATCTTAATTAATGTAGAAAAATGCCTTGAGCTCTCGTAGTTTGCTTCAGGTGCGTTAATTAAATAAACCGTCATAGCTACGGGTACGGTTCCTGTGACGTAGTTGTGATGCTTAATTTCTAAAAATCCGGGGGCACATTAATGTGACCCGGTCACAATTTAATCTTGTTAATAAAATAAACATGTTGTAGATTGTGGGTATGATTCTTGTGCCATGATTCGCAATGTGTAATCAATTAATTAGTTGTATAACAATCGGATCATTAAGAGTGGTTTAAAAGGAATAAAAATGCACATAGGTTTCAAAGATATTTTAAAATCGAATAAATAGGCCAATAATAACAGTTGAGCGACTGTGCTAAAACCACGGAATACGGGAATGTCTAACACCTTCTCTCGGGTTAATAGAATTCCTTACCCGAATTTCTGTGTTGGCGGACTGTAAAACAGAGTCAATCTTTTCTCGATTCGGGATTTAACCAGTGACTTGGGACACCATAAATTATCCCAAGTGGCGACTCTAAATTTTTACATAAAAATAATCCCGTTTCGATTGTCATTTTAATTGAAAAAACTCCAATATACCCTTCCGGCGATAGTAAAAAGGAGGTGTGACAGATGCAAAAGAAGCTTCTAAAATGCTTGAGGACGTACATGCTGGGACCTGTGGCCCGCACATGAATGGTTTTGTCCTAGCCAAGAATATACTCAGGGTCGGTTACTTTTGGATGACCATAGAGACAGACTGCATTCAGTATGTTCAAAAATGCTACCAATGCCAAGTGCATGCCGATATGATAAAAGTGTCGCCAAATAAGCTCAACACAACAAGCTCACCTTGGACATTTGCCGCATGGGGAATGGATGTCATTGGTTCAATTGAGCCCACTACTTCAAACGACATAGGTTTATTCTGGTAGCCATTGATTACTTCACAAAATAGGTAGAGGCTGCATCTTACAAAGCTGTAACCAAGAAAGTTGTCACAGACTTTGTCAAGGATTGTATCATTTGCCGGTTCAGAGTTCCCGAGTCCATTGTTACTGATAACGTTGCTAACCTCAACAGTGATCTGATGAAAGCCATGAGTGAAACTTTCAAAATCAAGCATAAAAATTCCACAACCTATAGAACTTAAATGAATGGAGACGTAGAAGTCGCCAACAAAAACATCAAGAAGATACTAAGGAAGATGGTAGAAAACCACAAATAATGGCACGAGAAGCTGCCTTTTGCTCTGTTGGGATAGCACCACAGTGCACACATCAACCGAGGCAACTCTTTACATTCTAGTTTATGGTTCTGAGGCTGTCATCCCAGCCGAGGTAGAGATTCCTTCTTTAAGAATCATACAGGAAGCTGAACTCAGCGATGTAGAATGGATAAGGAACTGCTATGAATAATTGGCCATCATAGATGGAAAAAGGATGAATGCAGTATGCCACGGTCAGCTTTACCAGAACAGAATGTCTAGAGCTTTCAACAAAAAGGTCAAACCAACACAATTTGCACCAGGACAGCTAGTGCTGTAGAAGATTTTCCCACACCAAGATGAAGCCAAAGGGAAATTCTCTCCCAACTAGCAAGGTCCTACATGGTTCACAGGGTGCTGACAGGAGGAGCACTCGTACTTGTAGAAATGGATAGAGAAATTTGGTCAAGACCAATCAATACAGACGCAGTCAAGAGATACTATTCTTAGACTATTTACATTTACTCATCTGATGTAATTGAACTACGCTTGACCTGATTCCCGTTTAAAAGGGTACGTAGGCAGCCCTATGGGTTTAGTCATATCATAATAAAATTTTCATTTCCCCCCAAAGTTAGAAACTGGGGCAGAATATTGAGGAGGACCCTCAAAATTCCGGAGCAAGTCCAGCCAATGCCAACAGATGTCAGACGGTTAGAAATCGATTAAGAAACTAGGGCAGAATTTTGAGAAGGATTCTCAAAATTCCAAAGAAGGTTCAACATAGCTCATTACCCGCAAACAGCCGAAAGATCATCTACCAAACTAGGGCAGAATTTTGAGGAGGACCCTCAAAATGCTAACATAAGAAAGCTGTAATGTCTCTGAAATGTGTTACAGTCACTAGTTCATCTAAAAATCACTTGATATATCAATATGTTTCTAAAATGACTCTATTTTTATCAATAATTGCATATTTTCGAAAACTCTATTTCCATGACAGTCAGGTGTTACCCAGGGAAACTCAAAAAGGCCTCCAGAATGGAGCAAAGCAAAGCCAACAGAAAGAAGCACAAACCAACCTCCCCCTCACAAAACTCACAATTTTTCTTTGAACGCAGGCACATTTGGCGTAGTGATAACATTCGCAAACATGTATACACAAAGCAAAATCACTATCAAACAGGCCATCAGACACCGAATATATCTCTAGCTAAGAAACATACTACTCTTATTTGCTACTCGCTCTTTGCATGGGACTAATCCCCATCCCGCATATTTGCATGAGGCTAATACTTGCCTCCCTATTTGCATGAGGCCAATCCCTGCCTCCATATCTATATGAGGCTACTCCTTACCTCCATATTTGTATGAGGCTAATCCCTGCCTCCATATCTGTATGAGGCTAATCCTTGCCTCCATATTTGCATGAGGCTAATCCCTGCCTCCATATCTGCATGAGGTTAATCCTTGCCTCCATACCTGCATAAGGCTAATCTTTGCCTCTGTAGCTGCATGAGGCTTATCCTTGCCTCCATATTTGCATGAGGTTAATCATTGCCTCCATATTTCCATGAGGCTAATCCGTGCCTCCATACCTGTGTGAGGCTAATCCTTGCCTCCATACCTGCGTGAGGCTAATCCTTGCCTCCATATTTGCATGAGGCTAATCCTTGCCTCCATATTTGCATGAGGCTAATCCTTTCCTCCATATCTGCATGAGGTTATTCCTTGCCTCCCTGTTGTATGAGGCTACTCCTTGCCTCCATATCTGCATGAGGCTAATCCTTGCCTCCCTGTTTGCATAAGACTAATCTTTGCCTCCATATCTGCATGAGGCTAATCATGCCTTCATATCCGCATGAGGCTAATCCCTACCTCCATACCTGCATGAGGCAAATCCCTGCCTCCATATTTGCATGAGGTTAATCCTTGCCTCCATATTTGTACAGGACTAAGCATTGACCCTCCTTATATAATTATTGCTCTATTCTGGTGCTATCTGTTTTTCGATTGGGCTAAGCCCTGCCCTGAATTTCACAAGACTAAGACTTGTCTTGGTAGCATCATATTATTGCATCTCATGGGCTGAAATATCGCCAATCTATCCAAAGGTGTCATAGTCTAAAAGGCATCATCCTCATAGCCGGAAGACACCATGCCATAGCCTGAGGATCCCTCAAATTTGCATATCATTATTCAAAGGCGTCAGGGTTCGGAGGCACCATCTTCATAGCCCAAGAACACCATTTCATGGCCTGCGAATTCCTCACTAAACAATATATGGCCCAGGACATCATGGTCCGAGGACGTCATCCTTAACCGTCCAAAGACAACTTTCATGGTTCAAATGGAAATTTGCATCATGTTTAAATTTCCGCACAAATACATATGTAGCATCTCTTTATCTGCAGGTGACCAGCAAGCAACCGCTATCCTAGCAGGAGCGACCTCGCTCCAGTTCTTTAAAATTACCCCAAACCTAACCGTTCACCATAACCGGTCTTGCGTCTCGTGTCCGTTCTTGCAATGACTTCATCGGTGTATTCCGCCAATGAATCCAGAACTACACATCTCTTTAATCCTATAAAATGAAGGATATGTAGTCAACTCAAGACCGGAGTCTGGCCTCAGTCAAAATTGGCCATCATTTCTTTACCAGAAAACGCTTTCATCCTTCCCGGGTAAAGAGGGGCAGTTGCTGATACCCAATTTTTCCTCACATATTTTAAACACGCATATATACTTTCAAAATAGAACATATGCAGTTATAAGAATGCAGAAGTATTTTTATAATTTTTCTCTATAGTCTTAAAAGCTCCAAATCAATTTATTTCTTCTCTTTTTATTATATAAATGTCCAATAATAATCTTTCAAATTACTTTTGTGATGATTTAGCCATTTAAAGTCATTATTAATGCCAACATAGTGCTTAAATATTTTTAGTGCATTTTTATAATTATATTTATAATTTTTAAGCTAAATTGCACATCTTTGCAATAATAGCCCGTACTAATGTATAATTACATTATTTATGCATAAAATGGTTTTTTATATTTTTTTAAATGTTAAATAACTATTTTAAATCATTTTCATAAACAAAGATATTTTTGGTACTCATTTATTATTTTTTATAAATTATTTAGTTATTAAAAGTGGCTATTTGAAATCTGGCCTTATTTCATTTCAAGTTTGGCCTTAATTTTGAACCAATACCCAGCCCAATCTCAACCTAAACCTACCCAACCCAAAACTAAATGCCCGACCAAGCCCCAATCTCATTTAATCTCGGCCGTTGATCATAGAGATCAACAACCACAATTGGGCCCTTCCTTTCTTAGTCCCAAACGACCCCCCAAACCCTCTCATTTCCCACAAACCGCCGCCCTGAAACCCATTTCCTCTCAAAATCTCTCAAACCCTAACCTTAATTTACCCATATTGCCGGTCATCTGCTGCCTTTCATGGTGTTTCCCCACCACCACCAGGCCTCTAATGGCCTCCCTCACGCTGGTATTGCCATCTCTAAGGTCCTGAGGGACCAGGGTCAGTTCGCTAGCATTTCTGGCCCTTTCTCGCCTGTTTCAAGCTGTTTCGGTTTGGTTCTGAGTAAGATCTCCCTATATCGTCATGAATCTAGGGGTTTCTAAGCTTGCTTCTTCATCTATGTGATTGTTCTTCTCGAAACCCTAATTTCTTTCTTCTGAACTTCTTAGATCTGTACATATCTGAGATGGTTTGGACCTATTTTGTATGAGTTTTACAATAACTTTTTGATTTTTATAAGAATCATCTGATTTTCGAATGATTTTTCATCTTTCTCTAAATTAGGGTTTCCGGAAATTTCTTTTTTCCAAAACATTTGTTGATTTGGGTGTTTAATCTTCTGTTTCCTATATGTTTTAACCAATTTCGTTAGGTTTGCTCTAACTTCAACTTGTTTACACTAAAAGCCCTAATTTTTTAAACTCTTTTGTTTGGTTTCTGAGTTACTTGTGTACTGCCTTTGTTCTTGCCTTGGTTCTTGTAATTTTTCTTTAGCCATTTAGATGTCTCGTGATTTTCTTATCCTAATAGGCCTCTACTAAGTTCTTGGTTCAACTTTTCTACTGATTTTGTATGTCTATGTTCATTATGACTATTCTTTTCTTGCTTTATTTAAGTTGTCTGCGATATTTGCTGACTTTTTACGTGATTTTCTCCTTAATTAAACCCTTGATTATTCTGAAGTTCTTATTTTCGGTTTGAATTGAGCCCTTTTCCCTAACAAAGTCCTTGATTCTTACTACTCTACTCGGTTTGATTGAACTTCTTGCCTTAATTAGTTTCCTCTTGCCTTATTTGTTATATACTGATTTTTGCTAACTATTTCCTTAATTGGACCCTTGTTCATTCACCCCTAATTACCTTACTTGATTTCCTTCCTTAAAATATCTGTCCTACTTTTACCGTTGATTGATTATCCCTTGATTAAAGGGAAGACTTACTGATTTTACACGTGATTGATTACCTAAATTTCCCTAATTTCTACTTAATTGATCTCTTACCTTATTTTGTTTAACTGTTGTTTACTATATAAACTCCCTCTTATTTTAACTGTTGTACACAAACAATAGTTCAGAAACTATCACCTTACAATCTAAAAGGCTCTATCTCTGCTCTTTCTCCTCTCTTTGCTACTTCTGATCCCTGTTATTCTAGTCGGCCGCAAGCCAAGGATGGGAATTGCACAATACCTTGATCACATCTTGTGTTTTCTTTCTTTAAATAGGTATGCTTCTGATTAATTTTTAAGAATCAAAACCTATGTGTTTACTTACTGCTTTATCCCATATGGTTTGAGTCTATCCTTGTCTCTGTTTATTGCTTACTCATGCATGGTTAATACTGCCTATTCAAACCTATGACTAGTATGTTTCCACTTTACTTGTTTGTTTGCTATATTGTTTAATATGTCTACATATGAAACTACGCCTGTTTGACTGGCTACTGTTTATCTAGCATGCCTAGATTCTACCTGTGTGTAATTAGCATACCTTCACCTGTTAATACTTGTCTAGAATGTATATCTAAGTCTTTTCTTGTTCTACCTCACTCCTTCTAAGTTAATTACTCTCCCTAGGATAGCTTCAACATGTTTCTAATGTGATCTTTGTTGCATTCTACCTACTAGTTTTATGAAACTCCCTCAAAACTCTAAGTATCCTGTCATTTATGTGCTCCATTAAGGTGTACTCTCTATATTGCCAATCTCTCTTCCCTTGTGTGAAGGTTGCTTGCCAAAGTACTCCCTAAAACTGTTTGTTCTATAACTTGTGTTCTGATTGCAAAATTGTTTCTTTATACTTTCCTCAAACTGTTTTATCACTAATGGTTTTCAGAAGTTCTTTTCAGTCCTAAAGACCTTTCTTTTAAACTCTTTCAAGCCATTATGCACTTTCACTTACTCTTAGAATAATAGGTCATGCCCCTTTGGTATGTGTACTTTTTAGAGACCCTTGAGATCTCTTTGAACTCTGGCATATCAGGGCTGGCACTTCCACACTACACAATAAGCGGTTGTTATTTGGAGAAGGTTTAGGTGTGAGCACTGCTCGGGATCCTTGAGGTCCTTAGGGAACTCTGACACACCTAGACATGAAATTGGCTATGGAACTTTGGCATTTGAGACTACTGGAGGCTTGGAAATCACTTTGGGCCTACTTCAGGCTTCCTATAGCTTAATTTCTGTTTTATTTATGTAATTCATTGAATTCTTGGTCTGTAATAAATAATTGTAAACAAACAGTGGGGTAACTAGTAAAAAGGGAGGCTAGTTATATGTTGTGGGTATAATTGGGTAGATACCATGCCTATAGGGTCCATGTTGATTCAAATGTGTTTGTCAGATAACATGCCTATAGGATCTGCTTTGGTTTAAAATAAGTTCTATTTGCTTTACTTCCACACAATTAGAAGCCATGCCTATAGGATCTAAATCAGCATTTAATAACTAGATACCATGCCTATAGGAGTTAAAATCAGCTTTAATAGAAATCATGCCTATAAGGGTTTCACTTTGGTCAAATGAATTCTTCTTGCTTCACATTATGTTTAATTAGAAATCAAGCCTATAGGACTTAAAACTAGTTTAGTTAAAAAAATCAGTTTAATTCATGTTTATTCTGAATCGATTTAAGTAACCAATATGTCCGCTTCTTTAATAAGTTTTCAACGCTGCCCTAAATAAAATTGCTAGAAAGCATGCCTATAGGATCCCAAATTTTCCGTTTAAAATTGTTTACTATTTTATTGTATTCCTAATCAGTAATAGATACCATGCTCATAGGACATCACCATTATACGCCTAGGCAAGCCAATAGAACGATTAAAAATCCTGCAACTGTATCTGTGACTGCTCATAATCAACAGGTCTAAAATCAGTAGGCAAACTAAATAGGTCTTTGACATTTTGGTCCAAATTCAGTACTACATATTCTCTGCTCACCTAGATATCATGCTCTAAGGTTTTCTCTTAAATACCTGAAACTGTTATTTAAGACGTTCACTTACTTGTTCTGTTTGTGGAGGTGAATGTGAGCCTTTAATTACTCAGGAGTCATGATGGCGCCTACTAGTGAAAGCTAGGCAAGCCAACCATTACAAATTTTTAACCATTTTCATTTTTAATCCCTTAGCAATTCCAAACAACATAACAAAAACAACAGAATAATAATAACAAAACAGTGCGGAAGACAAAATGTGATAATTTAAATTAATACAAACTGCGGAAATCTAAGTACAACTCTACCCAAAATTTGGTGTCACAATGTCACGGACCATCTATGAATACTACAAATAAAGTCTGAATAGAAATACACGAATCTGTCTCTAAATAAGTAAAAACAGAAAAGAAATGCTAGGAGTAGATGCCAAGGCTTACGGACGCCTACAGGACTACCTTGGATTGCCTAAATGGATTGAAGACAGCACCCTCATTGCGGTCCAAAAGCTGCAGCACCGGGATCTGTACACAGTGCAAAGTGTAGTATCAGCACAACCGACCCCATGTGCTGGTAAGTGCCTAGCCTAACCTCGGCGAAGTAATGACGAGTCTAGGACCAGACGACCAAATAAACCTATGCAGTCAAATCATATACCACAGAAATTAAAAGCAGATATTTATAGTTAAAGATAGGAGGGGAAAAGCATGTTGTGGGGAGTATCAGATAACAATATAATACCAAAGAGGGATATAAAGAAACCAAAATTCAGTTGCCAACAAGAATAAGGAAAACAAACACAGTATTCACTTTCATTTCTTTCTTGTTGCAGGCGTGCAACCCGATCCCATTTCATATATCTTGTTGCACCCGCTCCCATTTCATATATCTTGTTGAAGGTGTGCAACCCGCTCCCATTTCATATATCTTGTTGCAGGCATGCAACCCGCTCCCATTTCATATATCTTGTTGCAGGCATGCAACCCGATCCCATTTCACATATCACTGTGTCAGCATGCCACCCTATCCCATTTATAAATCAACATCAATCATAAAAGAATCACGGCGAGGGAACAAGTGTATAACAACAACATCCCGGCAAAGGAGACAATTTCATAAACAATAACATCCCGGCAGGGGAGACAATATCATAAACAATAACATCCTAACAAGGGAGACAATATCTTTAACAATAACATCCCGACAAGGGAGATAATAATGAAAATCATCACACTAAGCATGAATAAATCACAACGGATTCACAACAATTACAATACGAGACTCACGGGCATGTTTGACACCAACGTATAGATACTCATCACCATGCCTATACGTCGTACTCTACAATTAACATATAGCAAATAAGACGCAACTCCTAATCCCTCAAGCTAAGGTTAGACCAAACACTTACCTCGATGCCATGAACATAATTCAAGCCTCAACTATCGCTTTACCTCTTGTTTCCACCACCAATTCACTTATATCTAGCCACAAGTTACTTAACTATATCAATAAACGCTAAATGAATCAATTCTAATGCATGAAAATAAGTTTTCCAATGATTTCCCAAAAAAGTTAAAATTTGACCCCGGGCCCACATGGTCAAAACCCGAGGTTCAAACCAAAACCCGATTACTCATTCCCTCACGAACCCAAATATATAATTTGTTTTGAAATCAGACCTCAAATCGAGGACCAAATCCCCAAAATTTGAAAAACCTAAGTTCTACCTAAAACACCCAATTTTCCCTATGAAAACCGTTGATTTTGAGTTGAAATCATGTGAAAAGATGTTAAAAATTAAAGAAAATGAGTTAGAATTGACTTACAATCGATTTGGAAGAAGAGTTGCCTTTGAAAAATCGCCCAAAGATGTTTAGGTTTTGAGAAAGTTTGAAAAATGAGAAATTTTCGGCTAAGTTATTATTTACACAGGTGTAGGTATCGCAATTGCGATGATATGTTCGCAAATGCGAACTCGCAATTGCGTCAAAAACTTCACCTCTAAAATGCAAATGCCTATCTCTGCTTTCTTCGCAAATGCAAACCATTGGTCGCAAATGCGGTGCCTGCTAAGGTCGCAATTGCGACATAAGCTTCGTAATTGCGAAGGTTCCCTACCCAGCCCAGTCTTCGCAAATGCGGTGGGTGTTCGCAAATGTGAGCTCGCAATTGCGAGTTAGGCTTCACAATTGTGAATCCTGCAGACCTGCAACAGACAACAGTTTTTCCCTAAGTTCAAAACACTCTGTGGCCTATCCAAAACTCACCCGAGCCCTCGGGGCTCCAAACCAAACATGCACGCAAATCCAAAAACATCATATGGACTTGCTCCTGTGATCAAATCATCAAAATAACACCAATAACTATGAATTTAGCTTCAAAATCAAAGAAAAATCTCATAAACTCTTAAGTTCCATTTTAACAACCGATGGTCCGATTCACGTCATATCAAGTCTGTTTTTGACCAAATTTTACAAGTTCCACTTAAATACCATATAAGACCTGTACCATGCTCCGGAACCAGAATACGGGCCCGATACCATCAAATTCAAACACATCCAAGTTTCCAAAAACTCTTATAATTTCAGAAAATAATTTTCTTCAAAAATTCATTTCTCGGGCTTGGGACCTCAGAATTTGATTTCGAGCACACGCTCAAGTCCCATATTTTCCTACGGACCCTCTGGAACCATCAAATAACGGGTCCGGATCCGTTTACCCAAAATGTTGACCAAAGTTAACTTAAATTCATGTTAAAAGAAAAATTTACCATTTTTCACAGATTTTCACATAATGGCGTTCTAGGTATATACCAGGACTACGCATGCAAATCGAGGTGAGATGAAAAGAGGCTTTTAAGGCCTCGGGTCTCAGAATTCACTTGCAAAACAAGTGATGACCTTTTGGGTCATCACATTCTCCACCTCTAAAACAATCGTTTGTCCTCGAACGGACATAAGAAGGAAATACCTGAGTCGGAGAAAAGATGGGGATAACGGCTCCGCTTATCAGACTCGGACTCCCAGGTCGATGCCTCAACAGGCTAACCTCTCCACTGAACACGAACAGAAGAAAAACTCTTCGATCTCAACTGACGAACCTGCCTGTCTAGAATGGCTACCGGCTCCTCCTCATAGGATAAGTCCTTATCCAACTGGATAGTGCCGAAATCTAACACGTGAGATGGATCATTATGATACTTCCGAAGCATGGACACATGAAATACTAGATGCACAGCTGATAAACTTGGCAGCAATGCAAGTCTTTAAGCCACCTCTCCCACTCGATCAAGAATCTCAAAAGGACCAATGAATCTAGGGCTAAGCTTGCCCTTTTTCCAAATCTCATCATGCCCTTCATAGGCGACACCCGAAGCAACACCCGCTCGCCGACCATGAATGCCACATCACGAACCTTACCATCGGCATAACTTTTTTGCCTGTACTGAGCTGTACGAAGCCTATCCTAAATGATCCTGACCTTGTCCAAGGCATCTTGTACTAGATCCGTACCCAACAACAGAGCCTCTCCCGGCTTAAACCACCCAACCGGCGACCGACACTGCCTACCATATAAAGCCTCATAAGGAGCCATCTGGATGCTCGACTGGTAGCTATTGTTGTAGGCAAACTCTGCTAAAGGCAAGAACTAATCCCACGAGCCTCCAAAGTCAATGACACAAGCTCGGAGCATATCCTCCAAAATCTGAATAGTACGCTCGAACTACCGGTCCGTCTGAGGATGAAATGTTGTTCTCAACTCAACCTGTGTGCCCAACTCTCGCTGAACTGCCCTCCAGAAACGTGAGGTAAAATGTGTACCTCGGTCCGAAATGATAGATACGGGCACACCATGAAGACGAATAATCTCCCAGATATAGATCTCTTCCAATCGCTCAGAAGAATAGGAGACTGCCATCGGAATGAAATATGTTGACTTGGTCAACCTATCAACAATAACCCACACTTCATCGAACTTCCTCCGAGTCTGTGGGAGTCCAACAATGAAAACCATAGTGATCTGCTCCCACTTCCACTCAGGAATCTCGATCTTCTAAAACAAACAACTATGTCTCTGATGCTCGTACTTTACCTGCTGACAATTCAAATAGCGAGCCACATATGCAACAATATCTTTATTCATCCTCCTCCACCAATAATGCTGCCACA